CAACTCCTTTATCAATAATATAAAAAGAGAAAGATATGCAAATTAATCTACCATATCAAGAATGACTAGTGCCCAAAGGTTTGGATACCCATAATATTGAAAAAAGAAAAATAAAGAATGACCAGTGCTCTAATGTTGAAACCTAAAATACCAATTCTCTAATTCAAAGGCCCTATGGTCTCAAAAGATCCAGCTCACTTACCATTACCACCTTCCCATTATCATAGAGGTAGGGGGAAAAAAAACACATGATAAACAACCTGCCCACCCACCTTTTGATTATTCTGCAGTCTATTAGAGTTACTCAACATGATTTCTTATTTGTTCTTCTATCATTGTTTTTGTAACAGTCAACTCTACAACTCAGGTGCTAACTTAAAGAGATTTATCCTAAAGCAATTTAAGCATTTTGCTCTAATTTACTACAAATTCACAGTGTGTTACATACAAGCACAAATAGAAGCAAGCAAGGAGGTTGGGTATGTGGGACATGCAGAGAGGATAGAATTTTTATATACAGAGTCATTACTCCAATAGCTGCCCTAACACCAGCTTCTCCAAATATTGCTGTTGCTGCATCTGTAACTAAAGCAGTCACTCCAATATTGACCGTCCTAGTGAGAAAAACAGAATCTAAAAATAAATCACACACCAAAGTTAACATAGACACACAGATCTGGATCAGTTAAGTGATGATGGGAAAGACTAGTATGTAGTGCCAATAAGATTGGTGGTCAAAAACCAGGTTACATCACTGTGAAGCGTTTGAAATACACCATCTTCAGAGACTAAACCCAATATTTAAGTCAACAAATGCCATTGCACAACAACCACAAACTTCATAAAAGTGAGGTTATGAAGTTTAACATCTGCATCATCCTTTCTTAGCTCAACTCTTACGAATAGATTCCTTTTCCAACTCAAGCTCACAGTTAAAGCATATACATATAGAGAATGGAAAAGCTGCAAGAATGGTTCGTTTCTCAAAGTTGTCTGAAAGTCAAATGCCTGGAACTGCAGGTTAAAATTAAGAAACTAATTACGGGTAAACAAGTTCCACACGAATAAAAAAAAAAAAGAAAAGTTGCATTGGTAAGAGGTATTCAAACTTCAAAGGAGGACAGAATAGCTCCAACACATATAACTCTTCATGAGAGGAGTTGCTTGGACAAGCGACATCCATATAAAGATCATTACAGCACATGTAGCAAAAGGATCAATGCAAGCAAAATAGAAGTCATCTATAATTTGTAAGGAAGCATAGCTAAAAGAAAGTATGGTAATATGTAGCAGTAGGAGCATAGATGAATGAATATGGATGAAAATCAATATGCATGAAAATCCACTGAAGAATTACTAATTTCACAATTATCTTGCTGTAAGAGAAAGACCAAATGCTTCACCATCTCAGCTAATGGTTAATCACCCTGGCCCAAAAACTAAAATATCAAGCATTAATTGCAATGCCAATGATTAGCTAACTTATCTAGCAGATGCAGAGCCATTATTTTCCACAGTAAGAACTACAGTAAAAACCAATTGAAAGACAGATGATGAGGGGGTGATAGTTAAAATTGTTGCCGCCAGATAACAAGCAAGCCAACAGGTAAAAATCTTGCTGCCAGGTAACAAGCAACCCAACAGGTAAAATTCTTGCTGCCAGGTAACAAGCAAGCCAACAAAAGAGAAATTTTGTCCCATTTAATCAGAGGTCAGATTGAAGATGAACAAGATGGAAACATATAAGTTCTTCATACATACAGGTTCTTTACATGAATAAACAGAAGGAGTCACTCCCCCTTCTTCTGTTGCAGGCTTCTCTAATTGGATTAGTAGACACACAGATGCTGACAGAGCATCTAAATAGAAAAGTACACGAGGTTCTGAAGATACTTTATTAGTCTGTCCAGGTAAATGAGAAAGAGTGGATTTTTAAGTCATCAATGTGAAAAACCAAAGCACCAAAGAATTTAATGCTAAATTAGTTTTAAGGCTTAAATCCTGCATTTCAGTTGGTAGAATGCTAAAATAGAAATCTTCTGACAATTTTTCTCTTCTCTCCCTATTGTATAAGCAAATTGTACCATAAAATGGCTC